ATATATATATATAGATATATATAAGATAATAGAACATAGCAAAATATGATAGGCTTATGCACGAAGTCGCTCTTGAGATTCTGTCTTCGTCCATCGCGGATCTCTCGAGCATACCTTCCATGCTGACAGCCCTTTCTGTAAGATTTTCCACGAGGGCGGAGACGCAACACGTAGATTCACTTAAAAGTGGACCCCTTCCTCAAGAGAAAACAGTACTCGGATACCCATTCACATCTTTAAACTAGAATAGCCTAATCCCGGCTTCCTCTCACAAGGACTATCTTCAATTAGTCTAGAATCGTACTGCTGCTGACCCCGGGACCACGTTAAAGCCTAAACCCTAAAGTCTGAATTCAAAAAAGGCCTCTGTGCTCGGGATCCTGGCGTGCACCGGAGCTCAATTACAGGAGCAGGAAACCTGCAAGCATAAAGCCGATATTGGCAACTCTGAAGCTCCTAAAGCTCACCAAGCCCAACCGAACAGCCTCTATTAGAGTTACACTCTTAGTAAACCCCATGCTCTTCTTTCCGAAACAAACCTGGGGCATCTGAGACCCAGGCTCCGTGTCTCACTGCGTCGTGAAAGTTGAGATACTTGTGAGCTCCATGTGTGTCATCCTCGACGGGAGGGTTTAGGGTTTAGGGGGAGCTTAGCAAAACGATGTCGGGGGTGTCAACGGTTGGCACACGTTTGCTGGCGCAGGCGCAGCCAACTTATGTAGGTGCTCTCGCACGCACCGTCCAGTGTAGAGCACCGGGCACACTGCGCGTCCGCAGTTCTGGCAGAACTGCAAATGTCCAACATCGGCTTCAGTCCAAAAAAACCCGCAACCCCCGCTCCCTCCATGCTAGGTGCTGGAGGGAGCTGAATGAAAATGAATCTCTGAACATCTGCACTTAACCTAACCTTGAAAGCTCATCCTGGGCCACTCTGTCGCGCTAATTCTCAACATGCTCGTGGGATCCTGCGTGACAAACGTGAACTGCTGGAAGAAGTCTCGACCACTGGCTCTCCAGGACAGACCTCGGAACACCCAAACTTACTACTGCTTGTGCTGACTTGAATGGGGCTTCTGTCACTCCTTGCCCTCGTCCTACTACTGCTGTTGCTCCTGCTGCTACTGCTACAACGACGACGACGAGGAGGTGGACGACGATATCGAGGACGACTGCGGCTACGGCTTTGACGAAGAGTACTGACAACTGTGCCTCTTTCTTAGACTGGGCATGACATGCTGTTGCAAGTGTGGCCATGTGTTTATTCTCATCGCTATCATCACGTCGCCATCACCATCACCATCAATGTCCCCATCGTCATCGTAAGGCATCGTCAGAAATACAGTACCGCACAAACAGCTGTGAGCGGAACATCATGCAATGGAGAGAGGGTTTAGTAGGACTTCAGAGCGTAGTGCTTGGGGTTCGCAGGTCTTGGAGTTGAGGCTCCAGATTTCGGGCTGACAGAGTCTGAGCTCAATGTGTCGCTAGTTCGGCGCACCCCAGTTGCCTGGACCTACCGTGTACCTGCGACAGAATAGTCGCAGAATCGACAGCTTCATTGAATCTATGCGCAAGCTTAAGCAGTATAGAGTCTAAAGTGAGGAGTGTGATAAACAAGGTCATCCTACAAGCAGTATTTGTGAGAAGCGAGACTTGCACCAATAGATAGCATGACGTGCTGTACTGTCTAATGCCCGCGACCCGGCCCCTGGTATGCTTCTGTTTGCACTTTCGCTGGATTAGGCATAGATCGGCAATTACGGTGCAACTGGAGCTTTATGGGGTAAGCAGGGAATCTTGTGGCGATGAAGCCTAAGCCCCAAAACCTTGAGGGCTTGACAAGTTAGGGTTCTTAAAACTCACAAGCACCCTCCTCTGAGCACCTGGCGCATGTTCGACGGCTTCGCAAAGCAGCCTGTCATCATTCACGATTCAGGCAGCCAGCGTCCGTACACAACTGTGAAACATAGACGTATAATACACATGTATGACACATATGCGCGTTGGGGGACATCTTGGCCCAAGCTGAGCTCGCCGCCGTACTCCATGAGCTCTGTGTAGTTGACCCCCAAGTCCTGCATTTCTGGGTCCAAACCGAAGAGCCTCTATTGAAAGTTTTATCACCTTATACTGCACTACTGTGGTCATCATGTTGCATCATGATGATGGTTGGCTCTGACTTGTGCTCTGTTTGTGCCGCTCTTAAGGCTTCCCTTGTTACCAGCAGAGCACACGGTCCCTGGAATTGGGGCCCTCTACCATGGCATCAGCAAGTACACCCCGACCAACAAACTTCGGCGAATGGTCCTTCAGGGAGACGTGGGGAGTCAGGCTATTGGTTCGTGGCCCGACAGAAACTTGAAAGGACTCTTGAAACCAATGCTAGCACTCGTGCGGACAGTGCTGCCCCTGATCCGATAGGCTTCCTCCTCGGTGTCCACCATGTCCTCCACCTCATCTTCTGCCTGAAGCTCTTCGGCCTGAGATCTGGGGCTGGAATGGTTTAGGGTCTAGGGGTTAGGGTTTCAGACGCATGATGACCTGCCCCCGCCTCTCCCCGCAGGGAACTTACATTGAACATCTGACTTTTCGTACCGGTGCCGGAAGACGTGGCCAAGGGTTTGGACCATGTCCTACGCAATACTTGTAGTTGGGGAACCAGCGGACCAGGTAAGGAAGCTCCTTTCAGTTCGGAAACCCTTGATCGGTGCCCAGTTGTGTCGATCTGGCAAGACCGGTGTGGAGGGCCGTGGCAGTCAGCATTTGTAGGGTGATGGCCCATGACGTCAGGGTTAAGCGTCCAGTGTTTTGCTGCTACAGCTTACTATACAGCATAGTGACTGCAGACGATTACACGATGCATGGTAGTAAAGCCCTGATGTATCTGGTGTATCACTGGATCGCCTTAGTACGGTCACTCTGACGGTTTCGAACCCAATCCCGATCCGAAGCACCAGTCCTGCAATCTCTCACAACCCAGTGAAGGCTTCGGGCGTGTACATATTTAGGCTCGACAGGCAAGCAAAACACAGCCCTTTAGACCGATGAAACGTTGCTACGGAGAGCTTTCTTCCAGTCTTTTCATGACTATCGGGCCCTAAGCCCCTAGACCCCCAAAAGTTTCCAAAAATGTAAAGTGCATTCTGTATATTCTAGTATCCTATATAGTAGTAGACCATACTGTGTGATACTACAGCCCGAACCCACAGACCCCATAGAGCCCCTACATCTCAGGCTCTGCTCATGGCCTCGACAGCTTCGGTGGCGATTTTGGCTCCCCGATGCTGCAACGCATTCAGTGCACACTGCTCTCCTGGCCGGAGAATGTCTGCAAACAATCAGCAAGCAAAGAGGATACGTAGACAGATAGATTGATTAATCGAAAGATGCACAGATAGTTAGGTGGGTAGGTGGGTAGGTGGGGAAGTGGGTACGTGGGCCTGGGTAGGTGGGTGGGTAGGTAGGTAGGTAGGTAGGTGGATAGGTAGGCAGGCAGGGAGGTAGGTAAGCAGGCAGGAAGGTGGGTAGGCAGGCAGGCAGGTAGTTAGAGATACAAATAGATAAGTAGATTTATTAGATAGATGCAGAAACAGACAAATTCCAAGACAGGTAAATAGGTAGATTGACGGGTGCACAAGTAGATAGCTAGAGCTTCATTCTCATCTCTTCGCCCCATCAGGATGCCTGTGCACTGATCGTCTTGATGCAGTGCCCGTTCCTGGGCGTGTGAAGCGGAACGACGGGGAGAGCAAACAGATTCAAGATCAGGATTCTTCTGCCTTGTCGGAGGTGACTTCTCAAAGAAATAAGGAACTGCCTGCTTATAAAACCTAGATCCTCAAGACTCAAGGTCCTGCATGCTAGTCCCCAGACGTAGAACTCGCCTCTGAATCCACCCCAAGGTTGAAGCCAAGGAGCTTCCAGATCCTCGCCACGGGTCATGAAGGCCATTGCCACCATGGCCTCGGAAGCATTGCAAGCCTCTTGTTCGGCCAGCCCCGCTTCTCGGCCACAAAGCCCCTGAACTCCCACCGAAGCCCTGAACCCCTAAACCCTGAGCTCCTAAACCCAAACCGGAAGCCCTTGTCGGCCCTGCGACGAGCTGGAAAGAATGCTTGGACATCGCGCAAAGACTGGCGACTTTCAGAAGACGAGCCCTGCGTCCCGTACCCTAAAGCCTGCAACCCGAATGGTGCCACCAAACCGGCGCTTGCAGCTGACCTGCCTGGTTGTCGTCATGTCGACAGTTTAGAGAGATGCATCGCCTTTCTCCTCTTGCCAAACCCCAAATGCAAGGCTCATGGTTCTCGGCGGCAGTTTCCGGACATCCCGGTTCAAACTTGTCCATGATGGTTGGGAGCTTCGCAGACTTGTGACCATACCTACTTCTGCAACAATTATGTCCAACAGCGGCGGAAACTGCTGGGTCCCACGCCAGGCATTTGGACACCTGGGGGACATGTGACGTTCATTCTGAGCTTGCTTCGGGAATCGCGATCGAGTGCTGTATGATTTATGTATGTATGTATGTATGTATGTATGTATGTATGTATGTATGTTATGTAATGTAATGTTTTGTATGTATGTATGTATGTATGTATGTATGTATGTATGTATGTATGTAATTAATGTATGTATGTATGTATGTATGTATGTATACATATATGTGTATATACCTACAAGTAAGTATGCAGCTGTACATATATATATATATGTGTATATGTATATGTATATTTTTATAATTATGCATATATATATATACACGCATATGCTTGGTGTAATGCTTTTTGAGGTTGCAGAACACCCTGCTTCGCGCATCGACCAAAGTGAGCCCATCACACCGAAAAAAAAAGAAACATGCCCCGCGCATGTTGCCAACTCAAGAACAAGCGTGCGAGTACGTCCTCGAAGCTCCACGTAGTCAGAATCATGGGATTGGGATGGGCTTCTAGGGAGCAAGATTGTGCCGGCAAACTCACCCGCAACCTCAAGCTGCACAGCTTCAATGAAGCTACGCAACTATCCTCGAAAAGGAATCTACCAGACATAGCTCAGGTCCGGCTAGTATGGAACCGTATGGAACACCGTGTTGCTTCCGAGATGCCCATGTCATCGCTGAGGTTTCTTGGTTTGAAGGCCTTAGTTGTGTCCGTTCCCATCGGGTATGCGACGGATCAGATATGAACGAATCAGCAGACAGGTTGATAACCCATGGCACCAACCGGTTCTCGTCTTCGTAGCAATGCCCATTCCCCCCGCCTCGTCATCACAGGGCGCCGTCGGGGTCATCATACTCACCATCAGTATTCATCATTATCATCATCAGCACCAACATTTGTTGACATCACCACTGCAGCATCTGCAGCAGTTCCCATGGAAATCATGATCTTCGTCATCTTCATCACCATCGGCGTGATCATCGTGATCCTCTAGCCGTAATGCCGACACCACTACTGGCACTCAGCTGTCATCATCACCACCATCAGTGCAATCATCATGACACTGAAAGAGCCATTAACTAGCCTTAGCCTTACAAAGCTTTCAACACAAAACACCTAATACACCGACCAGCACCACCACCACCACCACCACCACCACCACCTCCTCGACCACCATCACCACCTCCTCAAGCACCACCACCTCCTCCTCAACCACCACCACCGCCAGCAGCGGCCACCACAATCAACAATACTAGCAGCACCATCTTCATCGTAGTCATCACAACCACACTCCCTATTGGCACTTTTCCTGCACAAGTAAGTGCATGCTCCTCCTCATCAGTGTCGTCATCATCAGCAGCAGCATCACCACCAACCGCCATCACCATCAACTTAATGCCATGACCATTGCTATCAGCTTGAAAAGAACCATGCCCCTCATCCGTACCCGCGGTCGAACAAGCGAGCCTACTGAACTGCCAAAGAGCGTGAAATATCGCTGTTAGCAGTTTTCGGCCCAAGACCGGGCTCGAGTAGGACGTCAACTCGAGCCAGCAATGCCGCAGCAAGCAGGGCTACATGGACATTTTCCTGTAAGGCTTAGGGTTTAGAGTTGTGGTAGGGCCTCGGGCCCAGCGGTTAAGGCTAGTCTAGGACGTATAGGAGTTGGTACAGACCTGGAAAGATGGAGCCCTACCCGAAGTGCTTCGGGCATAAGTTGTGGGCTTCCGAAGGGGGGGGAGGTGCAGACCGTAGGATGGTGAGGTGAAGTTAGACATCATCAGGCCTTGAAGTCTATTTCGGGGAGCTGCCGAGCCACCTGAGACACGTGTTGGGCTTTGGGTTGTCTGCAACTGCCATGGCACACGTCCAGACCCTGAGTCGCAGGGTCCTGCACTACCAAAATAATGCAACCCAGAAAAGAGCTACAGAGCCCACGCTACCGTAAAACAAAAAATAGCAGAGCAGTTTGAGCCTAAAGGTTTCGGTGCCAAGGTTTGGGGCTTCCTAGAACCCCCGCTGAAGGAGGTACCGAAACCCTAAACCCTGTAAAGGAGCTGCATTGGATTCACCACGCGACTTCGAAGTCCGACAACCTGGTCGTGGGAAGCATCCTGTAAGGCCCCTTATAGAAGCCCTTCTAGTAGGCCTTAGAGTATAGTATAGGGGCCCGGATAATTACCCATACTGCTTTGGGCGGTTCCCGATTTTGTGTATTGTATAATGGGCTCCAAAACCCTATTCTAAATATTAAGGCCCCTGCATTAGTACGTGTGGCAGGCCTTCTAGTCCCCGGTATAGAGCCTTTACTGAGCGCAAGGCCACCTGCTTGTGGATGTAGAAGAATCTCGCCCTCGGCAGCAATCATTCACGAGTAATTTAGGGGCCTTCCTAGTTAGAGTGGGGTTTTGGGGCATATTATACTGCAGTCATGATAAGGAGTCCCAAAGTAGTCTTCGTAGTTATTTCTGCTCCTATATTGGGCTCGAGGAGGACGACAGATGACGGTGGTGCGACGGCTGGACGGCTGCTACTACTCTTACAACTGCTGCTGCAGGAACTGCAATAATAATGCCTCTACCACAGCCGGCACTGAAGCAATAAGCATTCGGAATGCCAAAACATCGGGGCCTTAATCATTGCAATAGTGCTTTGAATACATTATACGATACCTATACTTTGATAGGAAACCCTCCTGGGAATAGTGCTCTAAGCAACTATTCCGTATTGAATACATTATATGCTACTTCTAATAGGAAACCCTGCATGGAATAGTACTATAAGTAACCACCCATAGGCCCCTAAGCAGTTCCGTTTGATGGCTTATGCTTAGAATCCTATAAGGTAATCCCAAAAAGCAACTGCTTACGGGCCTTATGGGTATTCCAACACTGCATCAGGGCTACGGCCAGTGCTTTGACGTGAGCCGCTGCCCGCTCAAGGCCTGTCTGCTCAAACGCTTGAAAGGAGGCCCGGAGCCCAGGGCTTGGGGTTCAAGCTCCAGGGCTTAGGGCCTAGGGTTTAGGGTTCAAGTTTAGGCTTGGGGCGTAGGATTTGGGGCGGTTTTAGGGCCGTTTAGGGTTTAAGGTTCAGGGCTTAGGGTTGAGGGTTCAGGGCCCTATGACGGCTTAGGCTTCACGCTTCCGTGACAATATCAGGGGTGAGATGTAAGCGCCATTGTGGAAGTAAGGTCTAGCTCAGGACTTTGTCAGTGTATCAGGCGGGGGACCCTAAGATGTCCTTAACCAGTCATTGCCTGGGTGTATGCAGATACAGGAGTTTATTTACCAAAAATATCTTTTGAGGTTACAACAAAAACATGTCTGTGTTTTTCCAGTTTAGTTTGATAGGAGAAATGGCAACTAAATCCATCCAGCCAAGGCAGATTACAAGCAGGTAAGTATAGGGTGTCCGAAGAGTATCGTCGGACAACTTGTCCTGACACTGTTCCTGCTCCAGTCGCCAAACGCATCCCTCAACGTCAAACCCTGCATGTACATCCATGCCTGTATGTCTGCATGTACGCATGTGTGCTTGCATGCCTCTTTGCATCACACATGTACAACTAAACAAAAAAATAGCTTTGTTGCTACACATATGACAGAAGCGTACAAGCGGATTGCGAAGCCTCACACCTTTGTTTGAAGGCCGATTTCGCATCAGCAGAAAAGCCTGAAACTCAACCCGCAGCTTCGGAATTCTATGCACACTGACACCTCCACCGCACACCAAACTGCAACAAACCCCCAAGCTCCCCAAAACCCCAAAACCCCACAACCCTCAACATGACTCAATCGACCCATGGTTCTGCAACCCAAACCCCGAACCCGGAACCCCGAAGCCCCCAATGGCCAAAACCACAACAATCCAGACCTGCTGCACGGCGTGCTTGAAACCACTCCGAGATCTGAGTGGGCTTCTTTGCTGGCAGCGCCTGGGAGACAAAAGAAAAACTGTGTTCGGGGTTGGGGTTGTGAGCATGGGCTTGAGGGTTCAGAATATTCCGTCGAGGAAGAATCCTGCCTTAAGGTTCAGGGCTGAGGGCTTCGGGTTTA